TCCACCACATGTGGATATGGAAACAGCCCATTAAACATCTATCTCTTCCCTATCAGTCTGGATGGATGTGATTTCTTTAATTTTATAGTTTTCAGACCTCCATTCAACTTGACTTCTGATGATTATGAGTGATGGGTGTTCTGTATTTTAGTTATAATTTTGCTGTGATTATGCAAGAAGGTGAGTCATGTTTACCTATGCCACCATCTTGACCAGTATTTGTGCTTTCTCATTCATAACACCTTCATCACCAGAGATAAGGAACGCAAAGGGCTAGTGCAAGGAAGTAAAATTTAGCAATGGTAAAAAGAAGAATCTATGGCATCAAGGTGATCCTATAGCTGCAGCCTGACAGAAGAGATGTGAAGAGTTAACCATAGGTTTGGACAACTAGCCAGCTTCTAATGAGTCCCTTTCCTGATTTCTTTCTTGGGAATGACAACTCAGACAGCTATAGTAAAAGAGGAGTATAGAATACCATAAGCAGAGATGCAGGAAAGCAAAGGTGAAGACAGTGTCACTGAGGCTGGGAGGAAGTGGCAAGTGATAAATCATTGATATTATGCACCTTCTACTCACACACACACACACACACACACACACACACACTCCATAATTAGGGATCCCTAGGAACTAGGCTTTAGTATCTTCCACCACAAGCATCAGGCATACATACAGCCAAAATGGCTGATATGCCCAGATAAATTTGAGTTTCCATGGAAACCTAATAGGATACCTAAAAATGGAAATACTGTAAAAGAAAAACAATGGTCCAGCCATTTGCCTTGTAAGTCTTTACCCCAAAGAAACAAAAGCATATGAACATGCAAAGTTTGGTTTACAAATGTGCTTAGTAGCTCTATTAGTAATATACTCAAATTAGAAATAACCCAATTACCCATCAAATGGTGAATAGTAAATGTACAGTACAAATGTACAATGGAATGCTACTTAGCAATAAAAAGAAATGAACTATTGATACAAGCAAAAATATGACTTAATCAACTCAATTGCCTTCTACTAAATATAAAATGCCAGACTCAAGAGCCTGCATACTGTATAATTCTGTTAATATGGCATTTGAAAAGGCAAAAGTATAGAGATAGAGAAAACACCAGCGGTTGCCTAGCACTTGAGTTGGAGAGACGGATATACCACACAGGAGCAGGAGGGGACTTTTCTCTTCAATGGAAGTGTTTTGTATTTCGGATGTGAGGGTGGTTACACAACTGCATGCTTTCTCAGAATCTATACACTAAAAGGGTAAATTTTACAGTAAGTAAATTATTCCTCAGTAAACCTGGCTTGAAATAAAAGAACTATATAAGCTAGAAAAGAGAAATTTACATAGGCGTTAGAGAACAAAATAGACACTGAACAAATTCTTATACTGGAATATAAAATCAAGGAATCCTCTTGGAAGAATCAGAAAGCAATAGATAGAAAATATATATATAAAGCTTAACAGATATATAATACAGAAGCAAAAGTGTCAGCATCAGTATTATAAATGTCCTGGCAGGAAAGAAACGTGAAAAAAATGACTAAAAGTTATCCTGAATTTAAGGGGAAGAAAAAAATTAAACACTCCAAGTGAAAGGTCAAAGAGATCATCAGTCCAGATACATAAGACCAAAAAAAAAAAAAAATGTACTCCTAGACACACTATAGGAAAAATAGTCACATTAGAGATCAAGATAAAATACGGAAAGATTACAGTACTACTCTGTAAATGATTACTCTGTAGAAGAGTAAATATCATGCTGACAAAATACCTCACAAGAAAGTAGTTGAGGGCTAAGAACCTGGGGTAGACAGAAGAGAGAAGATCTATACTTTTATGTCCAGCAAAACTATAATTTAAATGAAAGGGCAAAAAAATACGTTTTTAGGGACAGAGGCCATTGAATCAACACAATCAGATGTTGAATAAAATTTTCAGCAAGATTCCACCAAGATAAAAGAGAAAGACATGAATTTGTGAGAAATAAGATCTAAGAATAAGTATCTAAATAGAGTTACATAAAAATATAATCATAATAATTCAGATATAAAAGTCAAAAATACTAACAAACTATACCTGTCTAAATGTGTAACTTAATTAAAACATGTAAAAGTGAAAGAGCTATATAGTATTTACCTAATTTGGGGGAAAATATTTGTAAGCTTTAAAAATGATAGGAAAATAAACATAATTATTATCTTTAATAAATTATATGGAACTATAAAAACTAACAAAAATATAAAGTAAAATTTTCAAAAGTTTCAAACTAGTATCAAAATATCCAGAAGAAAGCAGAAAAGATAAAGAAAACATTTTAAGTTAGAAAATATAAAATAAGATCACTGAAATTAGTATTAATATAATAAGAATTACAATAATTATAAAAGACTTAAGGTCTCTAATAAAGAAAATCTCAGACTGAAAATAAAAGTGATATCCAGAAATGTTGTTCTAAAGAAAAAAACAAGACAGTACATAAAGAAAAAATAAACTAATAGAAATTGATTTTTAAAGGGAACAACAAACTGATGAAACATTAACAAAACATGAATTAAAAATTACATATATATTACCTATATAGGGTCACTATTTTCATACTACACTAAAAATACAATCTTAGGTTCAAAAGTATTATAAATGCTAGTAAAGTTTATTAAAAATAAAAAGATGAGAATGAACACCAACACATAAGAAAGAGCAATATAGTTTCAAAATATATGTCAAATCTAATGAATACTTCTCTAGCCCTATCTTTCTCTTCCTCTTGGCAGCAATCCCCACAATTATATCCTCTTCAATACTCTTTTCTTTTAGCTTCCATAAGATCATACTGCTCTGGTCTTTTGTAATGGATTTTTCTTCTCCTTTGCAGGCTTCTGCTCCACCTCCTTTATTGGACTTGAGATATTTTGTTCCCTGGAGCTCTGTACAGGGCACTTGCAACATTCATGTGTTGGCCATACTCAAAGATCTACTACCTTCACACACCTATGTTTAAGTCCTCTGTGAGGCACACTGTAGAGTCATCCTATCCAAACCAAACATGAGCTCTCTTTCCTCTCCCACACTCTGCCCCCTTCACAGTCATCTATGCTCAAGGAAGGGACCTGGAGCTCACCTGTGATTCTTCTCTCCTTCCCATTCACATCCAAACCTGCGGCAAGTCTGAAAAATATCTCTCATGCTCACACACTGCTCTCTATAGAGCTATGAACCCACCCCACACAGGCCAACTTCATCAACTTCCTCTCTGGCCTCAGTAGCCTCCTTGCAGCAGCTGTTGTGGTCTTTTCCATCGATACCATATAATTTCCCCCATATATTTATGTCTTCTCATTTTTCTTGGAATCCAAACTTAATGTTATGACCCAGAAGTATCGTCACTGTCTCTCTGGTCCACTTTCTCGACCTCTTTTTACACTGTTCACTCCTGGCTCACTAAGCTTCAACCACACTTGTCTTCATCTTCATACACATTAAGCGCTTTCCTGACTGAGGAAATCTGCCTACTCCTACTTCTCTACCCTAAAGCTATTCTCCCTAATCTTTCTGGGGTTGGCTTCTTTCCATCTTTGATCTCAGCTTGAATTCTATTTTCTGATTACCACATCCAAAGTACACCCCCCCCCCACCCCAGGTAACTCTGCCCTGTTTACCTTTATCTCCCTGATGCCTCACAGGGCCAGGCCCATAGTAGGCACTTAATATTCATTGAATGAAATAATTGCCTTAGTGACAGTGATTTAATATTTTTAAACACTATAAGCACTAAATATTTAAAATAAATCAATAATAAAGATGGTTATTCACATTATACTTTTTAAGTTCTATTCATATTACAGTTAATATAATGTAGGATATATTAATATATTCAAAAATAAAAAATTATATTTTAAAATTTATATAGTATTTAAACAAAGTTTTATATTTTTAGATTAAAAGAAAAAGTATATACAACTAAACAGATAATAAACACAGAAACTATAATTATTCATTTGTAGGTCCTCTCTGATAAAATGGAATATTTTAGTACTGACAATGGTTACTGGGTTTCTGTGTTTTTATTAATGAATATCTGTCCATAATGTCCTAATCAATACTTAGGATTACTCTTCTAATTATAAGCAATCTTTACATTTAAAACTTAGTTTACACACACAGTATCCAATTTTTAAAAGGAACATACACAAAGTATACCAATTCTAAGAGAGAATATAAGGCTGACAAAAAACTAGCCATTATCAATAAAGAAAAAAAACACAACCCATTTTGAAATTTGGATGAGTAGGTCTGTATTAAGCACTCAAAAAAAATGGAAAAATGTAGTATTTTATTCCAACAAATGAAAATAGCTACATTATAAGAAGGAAATATTTCATTATGTAAATATAAAATTAATTGTTCAGTAGTACCCTAACAATCTGAAATATCCAAATTTCTGTCCCTCTGAGTCAGTGAAATAGATTCCATCAACCAAAGGAAATAATATCCTAGAAATAATACTTGTGTTAAAGCTCTTAGGCTAATGCTATTTTAGTCTACTTCATTTTCTACTTCTATAACTCTAAGTGGCTGGTGAATTGCGTAAGTTCTGGAGACATCGTTTGAGAAGAGATTAGGTAACAAATTGTACACATAGCTTCTAAAAATGTCAACATATAATGTAGCCCATTATGTTGGCTTTCAAAGTGTTTTGAACTTGGCCAATGGTTAGAAACAGATTTTACTTTACAACCGTGTACAAATATATCTATATATGTACACATAAACAAATTGAAATAAATTTCAATACTACCTATACAACCTGGAAAAAGAGTCTGATATTTTACATTCCTACTGTTCTGTTTTTAAAATACAGTTTGCTAACAACAACAAAGAAAGCTAGTTGCTATTAAATTAATTTCCCAATTCCCTACTGAACTTTGACCTGCAGCTTAAAAAATCACTGATATAGAAACTCTTATGATTCAGTAAATTATATTAAATGAATACATACTTTGATAGTGTTAGAACCCAACAATGTCTGTAAGGAACTTGAAGGAGAATCAGAAGAATGCTGGAAAATAAGAAGGACAAGCCTGTGATACATCATACTCAAACGGAGGCAAACAAACAGAAGCAAAGCAAATGTTTGAATTGCACATTCTAGTCTAAGGCATTACCATAGACAAGGAATCCTGTAAGACCTTATCAATGGTAGCACAGAGCTCTTCAGTTTGCTGCCTGAGCTGTGCAGGGGAACAAAACTGGAAGAATTGAAACCAGGCACTGAGTTAGCAGAGAGTTTCGGGATTGCACTTCAAACGCAGGGATAATACAAAGTCATTACCTCCAGAGGTAGGTCTAATGCGTTGTCCTTGGAGATACTTTCAGTCTTGGCTGGTTCATCTAGTGCCTAGTGGTAAATGAAATAGTTCTTACATGAGGCTTTTAGTCAAATATAAATGTCATTAAAAAGTGTCTTCAAAGAAATCCTTCTATATCTCAATATTTCCAAGGAAAAAAATCTTTGAATAATTTGATGAGCTCTTCTCTGTCATGGAGGCATTTTCCACATTGGTCTATTTCTCTTGTGGAGTCAATATCTCTATTATAAGATGTTGGAATAAGGAAAAGAGGCTGAGTTTTTAAATATGCAAATTAAAACTTGGACATCTTATACATCTGGATGAGCCTTGTTCCCTTCCAAGAAGTCATCTGGAGAAGCTACACACAGAGATAAAAATGATGTAGACATTTCTCAAAATTTTCAAAATCCATTCTTGAGGAAATGCTTCAGGACCAGTTTACAAGAAATATGCATATGGAATAAAAAAATCTTGCCTCATTTTTAATTATTTACATACAGTAGCTACCTTACTCATAAGACTCGGTCTCAAGTGGCATGTAACTATTTTCCAAATAAAACATACTTTTTATTTATTGTGATAGATCACAAATATGAAAATGGAGAGAATAAGATAACACTCATGTTCATCGTGTTCACTCCATTTGGGATATGAGATAAAATATTACAAAATAACAGAAGCCAGGATGCATTCCACCCTACTTGCTTTTTCTCCCCCCTCATGAGAGAAGTAGCCATTACCACTCATTTTGTGGTTATCATCATATGTATGTCTTTAATTGTTTTATCATATTAATATATGCATACATTGTTAGACAACACACTATATAGTTTTTTTGCACTGTGTTAGTATAACATATGCTTGCAGAGCTTGTTTTGTTTTTTGTTGCTTTTTTTCAGCCACTTTGATGAATTTTGACTGACATACAAAAACCTGTATTTAATGTATGTAACTGATGAATTTGGAAATAAGTATGCATCCATAAAGCCATCTCCACAATCTAGGCTACAAATATATCCATAGCCACTGAAAATTTCTTCCTACCTTATTACTTCTTCCATGTAGTTATTCGTTTAATCTTTAACATACATATAGGATTCCATTATATGCATATTCCACACAAAAATGGATAATTTCTTCTTTTGCTGGATATTTACAGTGCCCCCAATTTTCACTGTTATAAACTGTAATAACTATCATCTATGTACACATTTCTTTAGACACATATTTGTAATCTTAAGATTACAGTACCTATATAATAGCCTAATCATGGAGAGTCACTTTTATCAGGTATTTTCAAAGTGTTCTTTAAAAGAGTTGAATAATTTTATGCTCATCATAGTGACAAGTGACAGTTCTTGTTTTCACACTTAAACAAATTGTTAACATCCTGATGTACATGCAGTAACTCTCTGGTTTTAGATTTTATTTCCTTGATAATTTGTGACATTGGGCATCTTTTATATGTTTATTCCCCTCTTCTTCATTGACATTGTTTCATTTGTCATTTGCATAGATGTAAGCTATTCTATATTCTGCTTTATTCTATACATCAACAGCATACTTTTAGAACATAAATTCAAAGAAAGCCTTGCTATCTAATGAGACAAACAGCAGATTTTATTCTTCGAAAATGTCTTACTTAATTCTTAGCCATTTTCTTTTTTACTCTAATTATATGAGATGTTTGTCAAGTTGGGACACCCCATCGCTTTGCACATAACTTAAGCAGATAGCATCATAATTACTTTTTTACTGTATCTCCATAATACTGGACCACTTGTCCTATTACAATTGAAAAAATATAATATTTATTTTTGTAGCCTCAGGAAAGAGCACATGATATGTGCTTAGTAAAGATCTTTAGGGATAGATTGAAAAGGTAAATTGACAAATAAATGGAGTTAAATGAACATATAAATAATAGAAAATGTGATTTTAATACTTCTCAGTAAAATGCTATAGGGAAGTGATTTAAATTCTTTAAATATTTTAACTAACAAATAATTTCTTTTCCTATATTTCATTAAATTTGTTTACCATCAAAGATCTGAGCATGTGATCAGTGCTAATTTAATGAGAGAATATTATTTCTCTCAACCCAAATAAGGCTAAAATCCTTGTTACTCTATTGGAACTTATTATAGGCAAACACAACTTTTACTCGGCTATTTAAAACATTGAAATTTGCTCAAACAATGAAAAGAAAACTATCTACTCAGGACAATTGGAAAATCAGGGTAGATAATGGGTTTAGGTCATTAATGTGCTGAAACTTTGAAATGGGAACAACACTAAGACTACCTTAAAATTTGGAAGGTGGTTATTTTGAATTTAAATAGCCTCAAAATGTACCAGAATTGATTTTTTGATTGATCAGAAGTTATCAAACATATCATCTTGATCCACTCCTTCCAACAGCCATAAAAAGTAGTTTATTTCCTGGTAGTACAAAAATGTATTAAAATAAAATATATTCAATCTCCATTAACCGGAAATATGACCACAGATTGTTTTGTCACAACTTAGCCAGCAGGATTATATTGATATTTCTTTATATTTATTCACTTTGAGTGAAGTTTTCTCAGAACATTCTCCAATAAAATATTTTTATTAAAAACATGTTTTTCTACCCAACTGGATGACAGCCAAGTGAGGCATAATTGGGACACGCTGGAATTCTCTTTTCAAAGATTCTTAACTAATGTAAGTAAGTTATCAGAAATATTCTTATTAAAAGTAGTTATATTTTGCTTGGACAGCCAACTGTGGGGCCCCATTGTTGAAAAAAGACATAGTAAATCTGACTTTTAAAACAAAATCATTTTTTAGCTCAATACTAAATTATTAGTAATAGCTATGAATTATGAGCAAGCATCATAAATCCAAGTCCTCATGGGAATACATGCCAACAAACTGTGACATGTGTGCCCCCAGCAAAGGGAACATCTTTGATGGAATTGCAAACAATTTTTATTCTGATATATTAAATCAGTCTAACCTACTGTCTTTGGAAATAGGATTAAGTTCTAAAAAGTATCCAAAGATAGAATACATTAGATGCATTCTAAATAGAATTAGAAACTCACAGCTTTCAAAGGAAGAATGATGTAAAGGGGCCTGTAAACTTTCTGCATTGCCTACGTTATCCAACTGAATTGGATTTCAAAAATTTCATAGGAGAGTTACTATATATTTTAGCCTCTCCTCGATATGATTCACGCTAAACTTAAATGCTCTTATACTTTGTTAATCTGACCAGCCATTTGGTGGGAAAAAAACCCTCTGAGGACTACAAAAGTGTTGCTTGATTTTTTTTAGTGATAAATATGAAACTACCTATAAGACTGAAGATAGTCTTGGCAAAATAAATCTCACTTGGGTTATATTTGGTTGATCATTCAGGACTAAATAGCATTCAAATCTGAAGAATAGGGAGAAATGTACACTGTAAGGCAAAGGGGCATCCAGATATATACAAGTACCTCTTCTTTAAAGAATATTTATCATTAAATTATTGTCATATGATTGGTTTTAAAAGTCCAAGAATTGGGGAAATCTACTTGGCAATTTTAATCCCAAGATCTTTGGAGGGTTAAATGTCTGTTCTTCCCAACCGAAGAACTGTTTGCAAACCATTACAGGCAGTATCAAACCCTTCCAACAAAGTTCAGTGGCAGGAGAATCCATACTTTTCCTTCATTTAATCAAAGGTATCAGAAGGGTGTTTCCTATTTCCAGCCAGCACCTCCTCCACTGTAATTCACATCTTTCAGTAGCTCAAGAAATTGGGCTGGTTTTGTAATTCCTTGCTCACCAAATTCTTCTCAGAGCTAAATCATTTCCTATTTCCTTTCATTGTTCTTCAATTAAAAACACACTTCTGTTGCTCTAATTTAATGAGAATTTAAATATATTTTAGCAAGTAATGAAAAAAAGGATTATGGACAGGGATTCAAAATCATCCTCTCTGCCTCAATATTTCACTTCAGCTAGTTGGTGTCACTGTTGCATGAGGAGGAGGAAAACCTTAGGGGATAATCAGATCCCATTTGAGGTCTGGTTCAGCCACTTACTAGCCCTGCTACTTTGAGATATCTACCTGACATCTTTGATCATCAAACTCTTCACAGGAGTATGAGCCTAGTATTCAGCTCAGTGTCTGATACACTGTAACAGTCACCATGGCAGCGATTGTGACTGTATTCTGTCATTGTAAAAGGTGCCAAGTCTGATACCAACGTGCTTCCCTTATAGCAGAAAGTCCTGTGTATATTTTCCATGGAAGCAAAATTGATGAAGCTTATTCTACCCTAAAAGAAGATGCTAATTGTCATATATAAGACTCCTTTGTTTTATAATCCTATGAACAAAAAAATGTGTTTTAAAATCCCGTGGAATAAAATTGGAAATTTTAGAGAAATGCCCAGCTATAAACTAAATTTATTTGTTCAATAAACATTTGGCAAAAATCTATTCTATTCTCTCAAATAGTTCATAGTAAAAAATAAAACAACCAATATGCATAATTAAATATGGTTTGGTAAGTGTTTAAAAAGAGATGTGTACGTGGTAGACAAATGCCTAAGGAGAACCAGTTAGTGTAGATTTGGGTCCTGGCACTTCTCTGTTGCTAAAGAAATTGGGATAACATTCACTATTTATACTAATCTAAATGAAGAGATATCTCTCTAGGATAGGCCATATGCTAAGTTAGCAACCAGATTTTGTTCAATTTTTCAGACATGCAGAGATTTTAAAATAGTCTCACCCAAAGACATATGTTTAATCAGATTGGAGTTTACCAACTCATGTCTTAAAAAATTAAACTGGCAACTTAGAATATATTAATTTGACAGCTGATGAGATATCTCGAATCTTTAAGTTTCTGTTTTTAAAGCACAGTCTTCAAAATGCTTGTTTTTTAATCTTCCTTCCAACAAAAAAACAATTTATCCCAGACCTTTTATTTAAATAATAAATCCTGTAATTTATATATGTTACTTAAAAAGTTGAGCACCTCTAGAATTTTTCTTTCAAACACACATAACTTATGCATTAAATATATCTTTGAAATGCCATTGGTTGGAAAAGAGTACTGGTCATAGTCTTGATTTTATCCTCAGCAATGCTTATGAGGAAAAGAACAAAGAATTTAAATTAATTTCAAGAAGAAAATTTATACTGTTATGAAAAAATATCATCTTTCCTTTTCTTAGCACAAGTGTACAACACAAATAATAATCTGCTTAGAATGTTAATATGTATTCTGTTTAATTTTAACTTTTATCTATTGTTATCAGGCAAGTGATAAAAAGAAAAATTAGTCAATAAGAGAGATACTTTTAACCTTCTCTGAAAAGAACAACAGTACACACATAGACTAAAAACATAATGTCCATATCAAAATTACTTTCTCTACAGAGCTTAGAGAGTTTAGAATAAGCTCTCTCCAGAGCTTATTCTTTCTCTACTGTCGAACATATTGTAACAAAGTCCATGGACAGTCACAAATCCACGGTAATCTGATTACTTTGTTTCTGCTTTACAATGACTTGTATTTATTTCATCCTCATCTCCATCTTGGAGATGATTATTGGTAGCAGATTAAGCCAAAGACCCTAAAGCAAACATGTTAAAATCTGATGCCTTACATTTACTTCTTCCTATAAAGCCTTAGTTCAGACTTAAGCTAAAAATTCTTCCCTCATAAATGTACATAGGGAAAAAAGAAAGAATACTGAATAAGCTATAAATTTGGTTCAGAAAATAAATTACAGAAGTACCAGAAATCTCATATACCCTGCCAAAAAAATGTACCCTTTTGAAAATTATGTGATTCATCTAGGGGTGATTAATTCGGAAACCAATCCAGTGATTCAATGATAGCTTAATGTCTCATTAAAAGAGATGCCTGTATTTGAATTTGGAGAAAACCTTGCTTTTAAAAATATTATTTTAGCCCTGGCTGGCATAGCTCAGTGGATTGAGCATGGGCTGCAAACCAAAGCATCACAGGTTCTATTCCCAGTCAGGGCACATGCCTGGGTTGCAGGCCACAGCCCCCAGCAACCGCACATTGATGTTTCTCTCTCTCTCTTTTTCTACCTCCCTTCCCTCTCTAAAACTAAATAAATAAAATCTTTTTAAAAATGGAAACTCTCGATTCCCTCACCAAAGCTTTAAAAAAATATATTATTTTTAATTGAGTCTGGTTCTTCACTAATTATACTATATGTTATAAAGCAGAATGTTTTCTAAAATGTCAACCATGGATTTAATCTAACTAAAGGAGAGAATTAATTGTTGAACTAAGACTTCAATTAAATGTTAGTTCTATCTTCAAGCCATTTTACTGAATAGATGCTACCAGGTTATTATAATGAGGCTGCAGCATCACCCCTAACCTTAAAGGTGGTGTTTTGTGTGATGTTAAAGGGATCTCAAAAATGATTGTGTGACTTAAAATACTCCAAAATGTTAATGTTTAGGAAAATAGATGAGTTTATGATGATTATAGTCTTAATTTTCCCACTCAACTCAGAAATAAATTCCTTTTATTTAAACAGCATAAGGTGAGTTTTATTGTATACACCAGCAATTTCCAACATTTTCCATCTCATGGCACACATAAACTAACTACTAAAATTCTGCAGCACACCAAAAAATGTATTATAATTTTTGCTGATCTGACAAAAAATAGCTATAATTTTGATTCATTTATACTCAATGACTATTGTTGTGTTGATTGTTGGTATTTTTTTTTTTTTTTACAATCTAAGGGGAAAGAGGTCAGTTCCCCTGAATAAACAGTCAGGTATTGCATGTCTTCGAAATTCTTGTGGCACACCGGTTGAAAATAGCTAGTATAAACAGATGGTAAAATGGTCTCAATGATCAGATTTATTGTTTAAAAACAGTAATCATAAAAAGAGCAGCAAAATATCACTTAAGAAATATTAGTGAAAATTAAATAAATTCATAAAATATTGGGATAAGATTTTCATTATTGAAAAACTCCCACAAAGTTAAGTTTCTCATTGAGGAGCTCATAACATGGGAAACCAGCAAAAAATATGTGAAATTATGCAAAGGCTCAAAAGCAAAAACAAACATCAAGTCATATCTTGTGAACTTTGAACAATTCAAATATTTATGGAACAATTTATCTTAGCCAAGAGAATATTACCCACATTATTTCTTGTATAATAATCAATCCTCCCTAGAAAAAAATATTTTAAATTAGGCATCATGATATTTACATTCTCTGTTGTACTTTGTTTTTGTAAAAAACAAAAATAATAGTTTTCCTAAAAAGTCTGTTTTATTGAAAATTAAAAACACAAAACCTCTTCCATATGAAGTTGTATTAGATTCAGTATACAGTAATACAACCATGCACATTGATGAAATGGGTTTATAATAAAATTGGAAATTAAGTTAATGGTTCTTTATTTTTAATCACTAATAGATGATAATCTCTAAAATCCATTTAATTGGAAGAGAAGAGAGCTGGCAGACAGTGATTCTGGAACCAATAGTGACATTCAGCTTTATTTTATAAAAGTCAAAAATAATTAACTTATTTTCTTCAGTAGAGAATTAATATAGCAGAACTACACAGGCAGAAGAGAATGAGCCAGGTTAGGTGAGACAAGCATGATGGAAAGACACCATGGCAGAACAGGCCCCTATCCTTCTCCTTGCCTGGCTATTTCACGCGGGGGAGAGTTTCTCCCATTTCTGGGAGGGCAGACCCTGTTGACCAAATTTCAGAAATGTCCACTTGAAATAGGCAGAGGGTCTGTGGTGAGGGAACACTGCTACTATGACTAAACAAAAGATGGGCGATTAGGATAAGGGGAAACTGGGTGCACTTATTGCATCCTCCTGAAGCCTCTTGGAATCCGTGTTTTAGGCCCATCTTTTAAAGAGTTATAAAAGATAGAAATTTAGAAGAGAAGCTAGAGAAGTAGCTGCTAATCTCCCTGCAGTCCAGTGACACATCTCTGCCCCCAATTCAAAGCACTTAGATAACATAGAGTATAGATTCTGGACTACGTGTGGGTAGTTTATGATATAAGCAATGCTGCCCACTAATACTCACCTACTTGCTACTTAGCATTGCTTACTAATAATTCCTACATTGTAGATGAGAGGTCATACAAAGGTGTTATTCCCCAGATCATGCTAAAATAACAAAAACATAGATTCATACCAGTGGTCAAAATACCACCTCTTTGGCAAACATTAAATTTGACAAATAATAATAATAGTATCTGAAATATTAATCATACAGAAAAATGGGTTTGATGTACAGAGATATATTGCCTAAATATCAGAAAAATAACATGTAAAATAAATAATTTCATAGACTTAGTAATTGATTTCACTTTGATTCTGATATGATCCTTTTTTTGGCCCTCATTTGAGCATCTGTAATATGTTTATTGAATGAGGGGCTTTAATCTAATTTGCCTACTGAAGCAGAATCCTATAATTTTATAATTAATGACTCTTAATAGCAAAGCAAAAATGCACTAGAATCATGTGAGAGGATGGGTCATTGGAAGCAATCTCAATCCTCCCTGTCATTTATGGAGGTAGGATCAATAGCCAGCAGGAATGGTAAAGAGAGTTAGCACATCATGGGATCTAAGGAGCTAAGGCGGATACTCAGCTAACATGTTTCTGCACTGTGGAAGTTACTATGAGACCAACTTTTGACCAAGGGGGCCAGTGGTACATGTAACCACATTTTACCTCCACTATTCTGATCAATACAAGTAGAAGTATAAGCTCTTGAATATAACAACCATATAAAATCCCAAAGGACAGAGATCTATCTAAATCTAAATTAAGTTTCCCAGGACTACTTGACATGAGGCTGGACAACACTAGGCTCTTATCGATCCTCTGGTGATGTCAATGATGTCTTCAATGTTATTCACCAAGATGTTTTTAATCATATCATCCTAAACCAAAAGCAGAATTTTCCTTTAGTAAAGACAGAACTTTAAAAGAGAAAATTCAGAAAACATAACAAAAAGGACATTAGAAACATAAAAGTCACTCTGCTTTTGAGCCAACACTGACCTTCTGTTCCAAAAGCAATACGTTTGTAGGGATTGCTGCAAAAGCCTTGTAGCTTGACTTGGTCTTGTATTGCTGGAATGGGTAACCAGAAAGCAAGAGTGGAGATGAAAAGAGTAAAGAATATAACATAATTTTAGACTAGTTCTACCAGGTTAAATGACAAGTTATTAAACAAAGAAAAGAATCATTAGGCTTGAATAACTTGTTTTTAATGGAAAAAATTAGTTTGCCATGTTAATATTTCATAGAATGAGAAGCAAAGAAATATCACAGTAATAAGCCTAGGGATTATGGGCAATTATATGATCTATAGTTTCAGAACTTAAAAGTATCAATTTATAGAAAGTTATATATAAATTTCTCATTAATAGCATTCCCTCATAGGAGTATTATTCTGTAAATTTGAGGGTTCTCTTTTTCTTGAATCTCAAAGGAAAATGGTTCTTTATTTATAGCATCATAATTAACAAATACTATGCCAATAAAATGTATTGAATTTTTGATACATTTTCTTACATCATTCATAAAAACAAAGATCAGAATACATAAGATTTAGTAGCCTTTTAATAAGCAGCATAATCTGAATAGAAGTAATTTCATCAGTTTAACTGCAAAATGGAAGCACTAGAAAGCTGTTGATCTTAAATTAATTTTTTAAACCTTATCATCTCCTGTACTTTCTAATATATTAATGTTAATGAATCAAATGATAAAATGTCCTGAGTTTTAAGTGCAATTCAGAGAAACGTAGCTTAGTTTTGTGTAGTATCTGGGGAGAGGGCTGAACATGAGGAAGTTGTAGAAATCAGGATTATATTCATAATAAAAAGCCCAGCTTTGATATTGCTGTGGGTCCCAAGCTGCTTAACTAAGTTCAAGGTTCCTGTCACTTCAGAATCCTCTGTCTCAGGCAGCTTTCCCCGGGGCTCAGAGTCAGGGGGAAATCTGTACACAGCTCCAAGCTGCTTCAGTCCACTAAAAAGCAGAACAAAGAGACTACACAAGAAGACAGGATAATCAAATCAAATAAAACCTTGAGTTTTATGGATATAATTGAAGTAAACGTCATTAAACTGGTGCAATGAAGGTAAGAAAAATCAAAATATCCAACCGAAAAGAAGTCTCAGGTCCCTTTCAAGCCTTAAGTCTCTATCTTCACCCAGCACTGCTATGGTCTCCAGACAACGATGTGCTTGGATACAGATAAAAGAAAAAGTCATCTCTTCACAGGGGATAGGAGCTGACATTTATCACTAGGCAAATTATATACATTCCCCATTTAGTTTTACAGAAACAGTGTAACAAAAGAGTCATTAGGAAAAGGAGACATGGTGAGGTGAGTTGCAGTTTTGCCTAAGACTACACAGCCCATAAAGAGTGGAAACAGGTTTGGCATCCAGGCTTGCTTGCATCCAGTATCCATACTTTCTCTATAAGATAATACATCCTAGCCCTGGCTGGCATAGCTCAGTGGATTGAGCACGGGCTGTGAATCAAAGTGTCACAGGTTCGATTCCCAGTCAGGGTACATGCCTGGGTTGCAGGCCATGACCCTCAGCAACCGCACATTGATGTTTCTCTCTCTCTCTCTTTCTCCCTCCCTTCCCTCTCTAAAAATAAATAAATAAAATCTTTTTAAAAAAGATAATGCATCCTCCCAATGAATATTTAAAGACAAATAATACAGAATAAAATATATCATTAATACTGCATGATGGTTTTATGGATATTTAATTGTAATGACAGTTGCTATAATAATAATAGCTAGCAATCACTATGTGCCAGGCACCATTCTTCTAGATGCTTTATGTATATTATCTGATTTAATTAGCACAACAAGTCTATTAGGTAGATACTGTAATATATCCATTTGACATATGGGAACTAAAGTACAGGATGTTAAATAACTTATCTCGGGTAACTAGCTAGTAAGTCATAGTTGGGATCTGGATGTGCACACACCAGCTCAGTTAACAGTGCACTTATTTACTACCCGCCCTTGCCTCTCAGCTCAGGTTGCATAATCATTTATAATGTTTGTCCTCTGTCTTCAACTGCCCTAAAGCTTATAGCTGGAGGAACCTTTACACAAAGATATCATTTTAATGCACATGTCATGCCATAGAATTTTAGAATCAGAAGTGATATTAACTGCCATGTGGTTTAACAGCCCTCACCCAAGACATAAATCTCTTTGGTCCTCTGTTCAGGCACCACATCAACACTTACTACCTCCCAAGGCAACACATTTAGGCAAAATTGTTAGAATTGGTATGAAATTCTTACTTATATTGAGCCAAAATACTCTCCCTGCTAACTACTCCATTGCTTCTATTTCTCCTCCCTTGGAATCATGCATGCTGTAAGAGCTCTGGTCAGCATGATACTGGAATATTCGGCTGTTCCTACCGACCGCTCCTGAGCGGTCCTTAACTGAAGAATTTCACTATTCTTATCATTTCCCTCTGTCAATATTTCTTTAAGTTTTAAATGGGTATGTGTTTAATTAGATCTGTTTTTAATACAAAGTAGAATATAATCATCATTTTCATAATTTGACAATGAAGTCACTTAATACAATGAAGACTATAATAATTGAAATTATCTCTTTGGTTTTTGTGGTGAGTTTAGAAAATATCAGAGAGTGAAGTTGGAGTTATTTCATATTGTTAGATCATACTGAGCATGTTATCACCCAAAATCTCTAATCCTCTTTCATTTTTTTACACATTTATTGACATTGAAATCCATCCTGTAGTTATGCTTTTTCTCTAGATCCAGAAAGAGTACTTTAGGGATTACCTCTATCTAGTTTCATCTGACTATATTTGGTTTGTCATTGTAAACTATGAAGATGGATATTTTTATATCATTTCATGAACCATTTTGTTAGGTATGTCATTTTTATTTTCATTCAAGTCATATAGCAGGTATAAGGAACTCTTGTCTACTGAGTTCTGTCAACCTAGTTGACATCAATCAATCCTATAAATATATTTGGATATGGCAGCTCAACTCATGAATTCATTCAACAAAATATTATTGAGTACGTACTTTGTAACATACACTCTAAGTACTAGAGATTCAGTAGTGAACAAAGCACACAAAGCCTTTATTTTCTAGAGCTTCTTATGTCCTAACATAAGGATGAAGACAAACCATAAACAAATAAGAAAGCAAAGGAAAAGTCATAGGGAAACAAATACTGTCCAGAAATTTGAAATAAGGTAATAGGTTAGAGAGTGACCTTGAGGATGCATTGGGTTGGGCCCTTGGAACAATGTGAGTTCACAGAAACACATCATTACATTTTGCATGTCTCTTTTTGTTCATGATATAATAAAAGATATCACAGAAGCTAGAACTTGGAAGGCATTCAATAAATAAATGTCTGTTGCTTGAAGAAAATGTCTTACTTCCAGTTATAACTGTTTTTGTAAATATTCACAAACCAAGAATATAGGCTATAACTTTCAGAATTTATCTTCTATATTTTTGAAAAATGAAACATATGGCTCACTTCTTATTCCTGGTAAATCTCTTATTTTCCATCATTTAAAATAGTTTTGCAATAGAAGTAGAAATTTCATCTGTTTTAAGACACAATTTATCTAGACCAGGAAATATGAACTTACTTAGAACTAAGTAATCTTTCTAGTTCCTCATCTATCTTAGGCTTTATGCATCTCTACGACATGTATAGCTTTCCCTTTTCAGTCTGAAAATCATTCCTGTTGCCATAATAGATACACTTCGGGTTCACTATATTTCCTCTGGGTTCTTTTAACACTATTCTAAATTGAAATATATTTCTTCTACAGCTCTCCAAGGCTCCCAGGTGTTAAAACCAAATTCACTGGTTTCCCTTCCTTTGTTTAAAATTGCAAATCACTCTACTTAAGGTAAATATAACTTGAATAATAGACTATAGTATTACAGGCTGGAATCACCGTCAGCTAATCACAGAAGGTAGACCTGACCAGCCTGACCCTGAATGTAGCAAAATATTCCCCAAGGGATGAAAACAAAGCTCTTGTCAACGTGTAAATCATTGCTAAGATCATTCCAGAAAGCCTAGCTGGAGAGAAGTGAAGAAAATGGGACACAGCATTGGCTAGTATAGAGATGGAAGTGACAGAATAGCGGGGATGGGAGAATCACCGAAAATCCAGAATCCTCAGAAAGGCACCAAGAACTTCGTGGAGGAGGTAGAGTGAAAAACAGTAGGACAAAAGAGAAAAAGAAAACAAAAAAAAAAAATACATATGTATGTAATTTCAGCTGTTTTACTATTTCACATATGTCTGGCTGTAATGACTGATGAATGTTACTCTACCTACAAAATATATACAGATACAGAATATATCTTTGTCTTCATTGCTATAATGTCACCAGAGCCACCATCACTTACTGAGGTTGTTGCAAGAGCCTCTTAAGGTGTTTTTTCTTCCCCTCTCAACCTCTTAGAGTCTATTCTTAACACAGCAGCCATATGGATAACACTGTGTTAGTTATCTCTTCAAAACCCAGCAATTGCTTCCTGTCTTATTCAAATTAAAAATCAAAGACTTAGAAGCGGTCTGCAAGAGTCCCCAGGCCTGCAATAGCTCTGAGTTACATCCCCCTCTTGACAACCTCAGGGTCCCCTCACCCCACTCATGCCACACTGGCTCCCCTGTTCTTTATGTCTGCCAGGCACTCTCTGGCCTCAGGAATTTTTCCTTACTACACTCTCTCACGAGCAACCCCTCATGGGATGTCACCTTCTGAAAGAAATCTGTCTTGACTGCCCAGCATGAATTTGTGACACCATTCCTTATCCTGCTATACTTTTTCATTACCACATACGGCCTTCTAACACACAAGGAAATTTACTTATTTAAGGGGAGGGGTTATTGTTGATTGTTTCTGTTCCACCATAGAATATATACTCTGTGAGCAGATATTTTGCTATTATATTTATGGAAATACATGCTTACATATTTGAAAAGTGCCTTGCACATGATAAGCACTCAGTACATATTTATTGAGTGAACGAGTGATTTGTTTGAGCCCACACGAACTATGCAAACCCGCAGAGGTATATTTCATATTGCTCATTTTCCAGATTACATGTGATCAGCAGTAATGGAGAGAGTTACATAGAAACTGTTGCCAGGGTAATAGGTTTGGAAGTGTTTTGAGGCCTTCAAGGAATGCGAGTTTATAAATAAAGTACCAGCTAGAAGTTTATGAAATATCAAAAAGCTCCCAACTCTTTCCTTAAATATACTATGTTTGCAAATAACTTTAAGGCCTGCACAGGCACACTACCAACTTGGGTAAGTGTCAAAATGCATGGAACATCATAATAACTCACTAAGAGAAATTTAAACTATTTCATAAATAGAGGCAAAATATATTGTGACCCAAATACAACTCCATGGATTAATTTTGTGATATTCAGGCTTTCCCAAGGGAAAGAGTATCTCAGACAACATTGATCTTGATCAAAAAGTAGGCTGAACAACATTCAGGGTAATCCATCCTGTCCATAGCCATGACATCCTTATTATGAAATGATACCCTCAACTACATCTGAAATAATCACTACATGTGAAATAATATCCTCAACTATATCTGAAATAATCACTATATGTGAAACAATTTCCTTAACTGTACCTGCAATTAAAAAATATCAATTTTAAAAGGGGACCCTAGTGCACTGTTGGTGGGATTACAGACTGGTATGACCACTATGGAATAAAGTATGGAATTCTTTCAGAAAACTAGAAATGGATCTGCCTTTTGACTCAGCAATTCCACTGCTGGGACTATATCCTAAGGACCCTGAAACACCAATCCAAAAGAACCTATGAACCCCAATGTTCATAGCAGCACAATTTACAATAGCCAAGTGCTGGAAACAACCTAGGTGCCCATCAGTAAATGAATGGATCACAAAACTATGGTACATTTACACAATGGAATACTATGCAGCAGAAAAAAAGAAGGAGCTCCTACCCTTTGGAACAGCATGGATGGAACTAGAAAACATTATGCTAAGCAAAATAAGCCAGGCAGTGAAACACAAATATCATATGATCTCACCTTTAACAGGAACCTAAACAACAAAACAAACAAACAAGCAAAATATAACCAAAGACACTGAAATCGAGAACAGGCTGACAGTGACCAGAGGAGAGAGGGGAGGGAATTTCAGGGGAAAGGGGGAAGGGTTTGCAGGAACAAGTATAAAGGACACATGGACAAAAACTAGGAGGGGCATGGAAATGAGAGGGAGGTAGGGAGGGCTGGGGGGTGGCCTGGGATGGGAGTAAAAGTCAGAAAACTGTACTTAAACAACAATTAAAATAAAAAAAATATATCAATTTTATCAAGCTAATGCAAACAGATTCAGAACCTTAAGACTCAATCTGTGAAAAAGGAACACTAAACATACTTTTATCTGAATTTAGCTCTGCATGCTCTAGCTGTTTCATTTTATTTTAATACCAAAGGCCAGCAGGGCCTTTGAACTAATATCCTCCAAGCATTTGTGTTTTAATTTGATGGCCATTTGTATAACAGGACCACTTTTCTTTCTGGATCTTGCACTAAGTGGGGCTGATCTAAATCCAAAGCTCTTTGATTTCAAAGATAGCCCTGTACTCACACTAGCACCACAGCGGAGCAAAACAAGAAACAATTCGTAAAAGTGTATAACTTCTTTGATATCCCAAAGCTTTTATCTATTCCTACCAATCTACAAAGTAATCTTAGCAATTTAATAAAAACTAGTCAAACATCAAAAGAAAGTAAAATAAGGTTTATCTATCCCAGAATCCATTTAAATGAATTTTTATACTCAAGTTATAATTTCTACAAATAATAGTTTGCAATAAAAAATATAGAGGCTGATTTTTACCTGGAGAGATGATAACAAGAAGCAAGGAAGAGATAACTAGACAAAGAACAGCATGTCTCAGAGAATGACTATTTTTGCAGAAGTTATTCTAGGTTTTACCCATTATAAGAAATATTTTTCTCTTCAAAGCAGCAGATGAAAGTAGACAAATTATAATTTCTTCATATTTTCATAATTGTATTTACATCAAATTATCATGTGTTTCTATACATTTAATTTTTAACTTACAAATGAAGTAAAACAAAATATAGGGCAATTGCTGAAAATTTATTAACATTAGGAGCAATAAGTGAGCTGTGGAAAAACAGATCTTTAACAAAATTGATTTTAGGACAAAAAAGGGCTCGACTTATCAAAAGCCCCTCTGGGCCAATCCTCCTCCAACTACCTCCAAAAAAAACAGGATGAAACATGAATGAAGCAAAGTGAACCACAAACAGAAACAATTTGAAGAAGCCTCTGCAGTATGATCGCTGTTCACAAAGGTGATGACTAAGTGTATGGCACTATGGTTTCAGAAATAATTGCTAATGAAGTCAGGAAACGGTAATGTTTAGATCACCAATTTGTTTAATACACTACAAAGGAATTCCATAATCAAACACATGTATTGAAATGGTAATCACCACATCAATTTTACCTCAAATAAATAATATTTTTAAATTTAGAATTATAGAAAAAGTTAGATTTTCACTACTCCATTTACTTTGAAAGTTTAAAATACAAGGACTTAATCTCTCATGATACATTTTTAAGATGACTCAAGTATATGTAAATTAGTAATTCTTATCATTATTTCATAATGATGATTTCTTTCATGAGTTATTAAAAAGGGCTAAAATGATAATTAATATATGAGTTTTTGTTTTATAGCAATAAAGCATGGTAATAAAGAACATGGCTTCAGGAATCAGTCGACTTAAATTAAATACACATGTCAGCTCTGCCAGGAAAAGACAAGTGACCTGGGCAAATTAGTCACTGAACTTCAGTTTCTTGGTGTATGTAATGGAGAAAATAATATTACCAACCTCAAGTGGTCATAAAATTTAACTGACATAGTCCCTTTTAATTAATTTCTAACTATTTTGTATAACTGCTAGGATATTTCTTGACTCACAGAGAGCATTCAATATCTGTTGCTACAATCACCATCACTATCACCATCACTGCTCAATGGTAGGCCAGTCTTCCTATGTCCCCACATGTGTTCCCTTGGAATCTTCTTTTGTGTATTTGGTCAGCTAGTTACCATTTCTGAAATACCAACTTCTTCCCTCTTGATTAAGATTAATTCTAAATATTTCCAACAGGACTGACATTTATAATAAATTCCCTCACTAACCACATCTCATAATAACATTTATAGTATATCAAACTCAGGGCACAATTACAGTTAATCCACATTATACTATGTTAATATTTCCATATACTTGTTTCTAGCTTTATTATACATTTAATAACTCTATGCCTTCTCCACATTATGCATTTATTTTTTGATGAATGAAAATTTTTAAGGCAAAAAAATTTTCTCTTACTTTCCTTAAACACACACACACAAGCATGTATATACACACATCTCAGAAAACACTAGTATAGTGGTAGGCATACAGTGGGTGTTTAATGCATGCATAAGTTGAATCACATTGCAATATGATTAACAAGAGAATGTGGGTTGTTTTATCTTTCCCATTTTTTTTAAGATTTATTTATTTATTTTTAGAGAGGGAAGGGAGGGAGAAAGAGAGAGAGAAACAGGAATGTGTGGTTGCTGGGGGCCATGGCCTGCAACCCTGGCATGTGCCCTGGCTGGGAATTGGACCTGCAACACTTTGGTTCGCAGCCCACACTCAATCCACTGAGCTATGCCAGCCAGGGCTATCTTTCCCATTTTAAGTTCATCATTGAAACAGAGTTGAACACAATCTTCATGGAACTTGGAAGCTCTAAAGCTGTTACTTTAAATGCACTGAACTGAAAATCTGAACTCCCTCTTTATACAAATACTTTAATAATTTTATTTTATTTCTATAATAATGGCCAAATTATGGGTGTATAAAATCCACAATCTAAAGTATTTGAGAATGGCTGGGAAGTGGTCATGCTCTAGAACAGAGGTGCCTTCTTCCAGAAGAAATGAACTTTACAGGTCGCTCCTTCAAATATATCCCTTCTCATATTGAAATAAATGTCAGTTTCACACCTCTGCTCAGTGGTTTGCTTCAGAGCATTTAAAAGTCAATATTTCCCCTTTATTAATTCTATTTCCTTATACACAGCCTATTTATTCTTTAATTACTAAGTTTTTAGGTTTATTATAAATCAAATAATTCTCACACATAAAGAAATTTTCCATTCCTTTTTGCCCTGTATGTATATAGCTAGATCCATATTGCTTTAGCTTGAGGTATAAAGAGCAACTAAGAAGTCAACCTGGTAGAAGGAGAAAGAATTAATAATTATGAATGAATGACAGCAAAGGAAATAGATTTCAAATTGGCTTGGCAAGAATATGGGCCTAGATCTAAGATAATGTTCCATTTTACACTAATCCTGTCTACTATTCTATCAGTACAGAATATTTTGATGGATAATAGAGTCCATTTATTAAATAATTGGAAATGTATCATATTCCCAAATCTCCACTAGCTGCTTTAAATTCCATCTTTGGAATCTATGGTGTAACTCATATTACTATGCCTAAAGCTATAAATATAAGAAGTTCCAGTAAGAGAAGAATTTGCAAACTCAAAGAGTTTTACAGAAACATGCACAGTTTTAGACAGATTATAATTCATCCCCACATTCAAATATACCAAATCCTAGTTCCCTCCATCCCTCCACTGCCAAATGCCCTTGCACTTTCTCTGCCTCCTCATAAGAACAGAATGAATGTCATAATTGCTGATATCCCCCCCACCAGAGAAAAAGATTCTTCCATGCTTCAAAATAAGCATGCACCATGCAACGTGCAAAAAATACCTTGGGTTTCTTATTCTCAAAGTCTGCTGATGTGGGCAATGCACAAGGTGAAATCAGGTCCTTGGTTCTTGTTAGAGAGGTGGGAGGTGATGGGGTTGAAACAGATGACCTGTGGTCGGATATTGAGCTTTCAGATTTCCCAAGTCTTGAAGGCAAAGTACCACTGCCACAATTTGGGTGCAGTGCTGAAGGACTGAGCTGGAGTGCCTGAGTGGGAAGATTAGTATGAGGGAGAGGGAAGGATTTGGGGGGAGAGGCAGAGCCAGCACTGGAAACAGGGGGTAAAGGAGGAGCTGAAGGATTCTGCCCCTGACCCCATATCTGGGGTGGTACCTTCTGGGACCTGTTGATCAGGTTTGAAAGAGCTGGGGAAGGATGGAAACATTTCTCTTGGGAGGAGAGTGTGGCTCTTTGGTTAGTGGGAAATGTAGAAGATAATGTAGAGGAGGCTGATTCAGAAGGATATGTGTAAATATTCCTGGACTTTTCCAGACCTCTGAGGTCAGCATCTCTTTTGCCCTTCCAAGAAAAAGGAGAAAAGCTAGGTGGAACAGGAGGAAGACCTACAGGACTCAAAGTATTTGTCTGTAGCAGGGAGAGGGTAGGATTGTTCTTCAAAGAAGTAGATGATGGTGTTTTCTCTACACTCAAAGAAGCAAGGCTGTTGTTCTCATGTTTTGTGGGAGAGAGGGAGGGTGCCTGAGAAAGGGAAGCAAATTGGGTGAAAAAAGGTAAGTGAAAGGATTGTTGGCTAATGTCAGAAACCTGGTGTTCTTTTTGCTCAGGAGACCCTGCTCTCAGTGAGCAACTTGAGAGAGACTTTTTAGGTGTGGATAGGGTTTGCTTTTCTTTTTGATCGAGTGTGAGTGTGGATGAGGCCAGGGAATTGAGAGAGAAAGTGGGACAGGATGCAGGGGAAAAGGGTCTCTGATGAGAAGGGTTTGACTTGAGCATGGCAGTGAGAAGAGAAAGCCGGGAGGGCACTGGGGATTTCACCCCTGACTTTGAGAGATTTCCACTGGATGACATCGGGCTACAGATGGTGGAAGAAGAGCCATGGAAAGAGGAGGTAAATGGCTTTGGACTTGGAGAGAGTGAATGCATGACAATACGGACTGGTATGTACGAGGCTGAATTCGACTTCAGAGAAGCACCAGAGGATTGTGAAGGAGAGGTTCTCAGACTTTCTCTGGGGCTAAGGACATTTGAGGCTGACGTCGTCTTCCTCAGAGTTTCCGAAGTCAGTCCAGGTTTTTGATCTGCTTCACTGGGACTGGATAAATTAGAACCTGATAACTGAGTGGAATAGGGCAACTCTACCGCCGAGGAGGTGACCTTCGATGCAAAAAAGGGTGAAGAGTGAGCAGAAGTTTGGAAATACGTAGCTGTTTCTTCTACCAAGGCCCCACTGACATTCAGCCTCCTAGTGTGGAACTCCTCTAGGACAGAGGCTCCGGCGAGGTTAACTGGGTCAGGTGGTGTTTTCTGATTAGTTGGAGAAACAAAGGAGAGAGCAGGTGGTTTACAGGCAAGCTGCTCAGAGGTAGTGGAAGAAGAAGTTAACTAGAGGAAAGAGAAATAGACAGATTGTAATCGGACATTATTTGTGACATTATCCAAATATTCTTGGTGCTTGTGTGTTTATACAAACAGTTCTATTAGTTTGTATGAAGAAATACCTTAAATCTCCATAAAATGGAAGAAATTCTGTTTTGCTAATAAGGCATTGTTTTCAATTTGAAATAAAATATAAATAAACTATGAGGCATTATATACAGTAGCACATTGATTCCCTAGGATGACTATCAATATTAAATTGTATTCACATATTTCTATTTAGAAACTCATTAACAAAATCTAAAAGAGTTATCTTAATTTGGAGTCATGTCATTTGAAAAGAGTTAAACCACCATCAATATAAATTTCAAAATTCACCTTGGAAAATGAAATAAATTTTCTATTGGAAGTATATAAACCATAATATAATAATAATTAATGCAATCCTTAAAAAATTAACATACTTCGAAGCTTGAAATTCTAAAACTTGGACTACTCCTACATATTGTGAAACTAAAAATGCCCAGAATTCAACAAATGCAGCACTCAACCTCAGTATACAGGGGTAAACAATGAGAGAGTGAAAGCAAGTGCAAACCACAGAGGGAATTCTAGCTTACAGAAAATATTTTCCCTTATTACTTGCCAAAATGAACACGAAACAAATGATTCAGTTACATTGAAAGGAGTACGTATTCTCTCACAGCAAAGGAATCCTGAGTACTTTACAACTGCAATCTGCCTGAAACAAGGCAGCCCATCAATTCCACATAAAATAAAGAAATAATGCATCATTGTCAAGAGAGGATAGGCAGGGCCTGTAAAATGACGGACTGTGTGTATTCCTGTGCTATTTTAAAAATCACCCATAAATACTGAATTTGTAAGTGATTCTAGTCTGGGAAGCTCTTTATTCCTTCTTTAAATCTTTAAACAGAGGGTTTATTTTTGCCAAAATTATTGTTTTGATCCTATCAATCCATAAGAGAAAGGAAACTACTGTGTCTAATAAAGAATTTAGGAAATTAATTAAGATTTATGATCTTATAGGTATATTTTTTTTCACATTACATAGCAGAAAAGTGTGTGGGCATAATATTTAAACTTAATAAAAGGTTGATTTACAAATTCAGTAAAAGATAGTTCTTATTGTTGCTTAAGATATCCATATTAAGTCATCCATCAGCCCTAATGTGAAGATTTTCATATCATATAGTTTTGAGTTCTAAAAAATATTTAAAACTAATAAATTCAAACAACTCACCCCAAACTTCCAAGTCTCTGAGCAAACATACCCAAAATATTCCTGTTTTTAATATGTAAACTCTTGTGCCTTTGCAACACAGAATTCTTGCCATATAAATAATATTTGAGTATATGGGCATAAACCAGAATATCTAAAAATGAGGGATAATTTCAAAAATCAAACAGAATTCAATCAAATCAAGAAAGAAAGCTTAAAAATTCCCTCACATAAATTTTACTTAGAAACAAGTCTGTTTGGCCACTGGTTATGTAACTGTTTCACGTGCTTAGCCCTGAATGAAGGTCTTCTCATTGTTTCCAGTGATGATCTGTCTTCTTTCACAGACAGAATAAAGTAATTTGAAGACCCAGTAGGGTGCCTTTTCAGTTTATACCAGAGCTATTGGTAAAAAAAAATTTATAAGTTAATAAGAACCCCAAAATCCCATTATCTTTGCAATCATCTTCCAAACAACTTCAGCAAACATTAATTCATCCTGACTATCCATCAAAGTATCATGTTTAAATAGTAGGGCTCTAATTTTGAGGGTCTCACTCAGAGGAAAAGACTATTCCCTCAAACTTCCTCAAGAGTATAGATTTTAATTACCAAATTTTCTACTGCATTAAGTCATATGTTATCTAATATAAGTAACTCAGAATTTAATTGTATTTTTAATAGTTGATTATTGAAGAACTTAAAAGAGAATAACCAAAAATTCTAAGAATGTTATGTTTATATTAAGCTACATGTTTTTATAATTTCCTATTCAATATATCAATAGTATTCATAATATGCTCATTTCTAATTTGCAAACACATCCTGGTGTTATTCTAATTTACACTAGCATAAAAAATGTAGTTCCCCATTTTTATAAAATTCTCAGGAGTGAAGAATACATTTTTAATGAAAAATATTCATTGTCCTGAGTTCCACTTATTACTAATTTTTTTAAAGAGGAGCTAAAGACATGAATAATTTTACACAGAGAGAAAAAATGGATACCTGTCAAGTGCTCAGTCAGTAGCCCAGACTTTATTTTGCCTCTTCCCTATAAACCCTTTACTTCTCTAGTAATGTCTACAAATTATTTCTGTCCCTTCATTCTCCTCTATTAATACTCACCCCCTGTGCTGTTTGTTACTGGGTTTGTTTCTAATGCTCTAATTCCTTCTCCCTCAAACCTGTTCTCCTTCTTCTCCACTATTTATTTCTAGCCTGAGCTTTGTTGGTTCCTTTGCTTCAAACACCTTTCAGAGCTGCCCTGACCGTGTTCTCCAATCCCAAGCCCTCCTCAGATTCCTTGAGTCCCCTGACTACACACCTCCAAAGTCATTCTCAAAACTCTCTTTCCCTAGAAAGACTACCTTGACATTCACAATAATCTCAGGATCAGAGGATACTTGCAATGTTCTGCTGTCATCAAGTGGACAATCTTAGTCATAAATCCACCCATAGATCCTATATAATAGGAGTCATTAGTTATTTTAACAACCAGTCTCTGAAGTAGAGCTGCCTTGTAATTTTAGTCAATCTAAGTAAACTGTACCTGTATATATTCATTTTTCCCTAATGTGTCTATGATATTCCAAAGCATCTGAATAAAACTAAAGTGATTGGTCTGCTGCTGTCTGATGTTCTGAGTAGTTCCCAAGACTTGGACAGCACCAGGTGTCAGTCCCGTATAGTTGTGCTTTTCTTCCTGAATCTGCACAGCCTTGCAAGGCAGAAACTCCAGAAGATTCTCTGTTCCCACAATCAAGATATTATGCAGCTTGGCCTCCTAAATTTACCTATTATCAGTCCTCTTCTCACTGACGGACACTCACAATATCACTGGGCAGATTCTCAGCCTTTCTTACCTGAACATTTAAATAACATTCAACCTATCATCAGATTGATCTCTTACAATCTGATCAAGGTATACCTATGTACAAGATGTCATCAATAATTTCTCTGTGTCTACCATGATCTAAAGACCTGTCCTTCTTAACAGAGCCCTCTCTTGCTATCCAATCTCGTTTCCCCCATTCCTTGCTATATTGCATATTTTGCATATGTTATTACTAAAAGCATGTTTGCATTAGTTTTTAGTAATACTTTCTTCAATCTCAAATTCCTTGTGAGTATAGTCAACATTTTAGCTATCGTTTTTTTACCAATCTAGTTGGCAAATCTTCATTCTTAAATCATTCCTACCAACTGCCATTATGTTCCTAGACCTAGTCTATTTAAAGCTGCTACTAAAAAAAGTAACACAACCCTGTTGGTTGGCAGGACTCCTGCACTTCATTTACGAACTGGTTCTGCACCAGGGCACTGGCGGAGAGTGGGCAGAACGTCCTTGTGCCCCAGCAGAAGGAGCACTGGTCTCTAATTCGCACAGAGGATGAATAAGGCACTGTGGGCTGGTGTCCTCATAAATTTGAGGTCTATAGTCTCAGCTGGGCCCTGGACACCTCAGCGTTTTTGTTGGCTGCTTTTTTTTTTAAGTTTTCTTTTGTTTGGACCTCAGCTTTTCTCTTTTGCTCTGAATAGCAGGTCTTCTAAAAAGTTAACACTGACCACAAATCCTTTTCTCACCATTCCCTCATTGTTCTCAACAACCTAGAATTCTTTTCTTCTAAGGAAAACTGAGATTACCAGAAAAATCCATTTTTTTTAGATCTGCCTTTCACTTCTTTAAGGTAAATTTTCTCTATGTGCTCCAAATTGCAGTAGCTCCTGTCTTCTTAGGGATCACATTCCATCACTCCTATGCTATGTACTCATTCTTTTTTTTCTTTTTTATTAGCTCTCTCATTCTAACATAAATATAAAGCAGAATCCTTCCAATCTTTAAAACCATAATAATAAATGTCATGTAGTGGATTATAAAAATTTTTACCATTCTTTAGTCTTCTTTATATTAAAGAGGCAAAGCCCTTTTCCTCATCCCTTAATCTCAACTGGCCATATAATTTGTTTTGGCCAGTGCAACATTAGCAAATGTGATTCAAGAAGCAGTGGCGAGAAAAACACTGTGCATTGGAACTTATTGGCTTGCTGAATGCAGAACATTGCCACAATATGAATGAGCCCAGGTTAGTCCACTGGAAAATACAAAACCATCTCTCAGCTAACCAGCCCCCAGACAGCTAATCATCTACCATTCAACCAGCAGCTAATCACAGACACATAAGTGAACTACAGCAAATATCAGCTGAACCTGACCCAGACCTGCAGAGCCACCCAGCTGAATCTGGCCCAATTGTAGAGTGGCAGATTTCTGAGCTAAATAGAAGGTTGTGTTTAAAAACAATAAATTTTGTCACGGTTTGTTAAATGGAAAAAGGTAACTGAAAATGTGTGCATACATGTACACTAAGATCTTTGTGGATCCTGTCTTTCCCATCATTACAGGCCCACATTTCTCTCTTGGTAATTACACCTGAAAAATATAATAATCATTGTATTGCTTTCCGTTTTGTGGCCAACATACCCAAAAGTAACTACGCAGAATCCCCTCTTGTATAATTCCCTCTTCTTGAGTATGGGTGGAAGCTGAAGGAATTTAGAAGTCCCTAATCAGATGACTTCAAGTTAATCAAACAGGAGATTATCCATCTCCTGGATTATCCAGAGTGGGTATGACCTAAATAAATGATTTAAAGGTGAATGGAAAGATTAGAAATCAAAGTGGCAGAGAAAATAAATAAAAATAAACGTATTTTTAAGCCACTAAACTTGTGGTGATTTGTTCTGTAGCAATGGAAAACTA